CCCCCCCGGAACCCTGGGTGCTTGCCTCCCACCGCCGCGTGTTTTGCTCTGCGCCGCATCCCGCTCCCTGGGGCCGCCTGCTTGCCATCGGGGTCAGGGCTGAGCATTGGAAATTGACACCAGCCGAGGGCGAGCACCAGAGTCGGGGACAATCGGCTGCAGAGCCGAACCAAGGAGATCGTCGGCGGCGCAGGGCAGGCACAAAGGTCAGGGACGCTGGGGGGCAGGGCCGAACCCCAGGGGGCTGGCAGCGACGCAGCACGGGGCCTGGGGATACCCGGGAGCAGAGGCTTGGCATCGCTCGAACGTGTGCACGTTTTCCTCGGCGATGACCTTCGAGGGGCATCCTGGAGCCTCCTGCGAAGAAGCAGCCGCCGCCAATCTCCTTGATAAAGCGCTGTTCCAAACACAAATGTTTGCCTTGAGCGAGCGTCCAGCAATCGGGTTCGATACGGAATCACCGTGATCACCGCAATACTGGCCTCAGAGCGGGAATGTGACGGGCACTCCCTGAAAGCTGCCGCAGCAGCCGCGCTGGCCAAGACGGGTGCCCGCTGCACAACCGAATGAGGGAGCGGGCGGAGGAGAGGACACCCTCTGGGCCCCGCGGCAGCTGTGCCGACCGGTGCAGCGAAGCCAACTGTCGCTGTGCTGCTGGATTGATCGCCGTAAACACTGTCCGCACCACGAGCCCGCAGTGGGCCGCCGGCAGTTCCCCTAAGTACGGCCCTGTGCCCAGCTGCCCAGGGCCTCCATGATTTGGGCCCGTCCCCGGACCTGGCTCGGCTACACGCACGAGTGACCCTGGGCAGGAGTGGCCTATGGTGCGCGGGTCGACGGGGACGCGGGGTGGCCGAACCTGGGCACGCAAGCCGCTGCTACCGCTTCGCGTTCAGCGATCGGGGGACCCCACTGGGCCCGCGCGGCGCTTCCTGGGCAGGGAGGCGGCGGCGCGGCGGAGCCAGAGCCCCAGGGCGGCTTCCCAGGAGCGGCGCCTCGCCCCCCGGAGGCGCTGGAACGGGCTGGGCGCGCCCAACTTCGAAGGGGACGCCCCCCCTCGGCCGCGGCAGAGCCGGAAGCCAGCAGCGAGCGGCGGCGGGAGGCGCGCCAGCGCCGCCAGGTCCCGCGGCTCCAGCGGCTCCACCGGCAGCGGCTCCCGAGAGCAGCAGCGGCAGCAGCTGCGACTCCTCGGACACGGACCTGGAGAAGGAGAGCGCGGCGGCTGGCGCGGCGGCGACGGGCGACGCAGCGGGGCAGGGGCGCCCTGCGGCGGCGCCAACGGCCAGGCCGTGGCTGCCGCAGCCCCCCGGCGCCGCCGGGGAGCCGGCGCAGGGCGCGGCAGCGGTGGCGGGGCCCCCAGCGACGGCAGCTCCAGCAGCGACGCCGGCTGGGCCACAGACACCTCGGGGGCCGCGGGCGCGGACAGCGAGGGCGCCTGCAGCGGAGGGCGTCGGCTGCCGCGGCGTCCCTTGCGGGCCCCACGGCGGAGGCACTCGCTGCGGCGCTGCACCGAGCGGGCGCCCTGACTCCAGTGGCGCTGGATGTCGGTGAGCACGACATCGAGGACACCTTCGAGGCGGTCGACTGGCGGACCCTCCTGCTCGCCAAGGGCCGCAGCTGGGCGGACGCGGACTCCCCGCCGCCCTCCAGCCGCCAGAGCGCGCGCAGCTCGCTTCCCGCTCCTGCTGACGAGGCGACGGAGCGGACCCCGGACGCGGCTGCCAGCGGGACGCAGAACGTCGGCGCGGGGAACACGTAGTCCAATAGCTTGGCAAGAATCTTGGCGTAACGTTTGGCCACGTAGGCGTTTCCGAAATGCAGGGGGCGGCGGTGGTTCGCCGTAGGTGTCTCCGCCGCCCCCTGTGGTCTGTCCACAAGTGTGGGTGTCGTGCCGAATTTCGCAATGGTAGAATCCTTGAAAAAATGCGCAATGACCTCCGGCACAACCCGCCGTCCATCCTGAAGAGCGCTCAAACGTGGAAGGCACGGTTTTTTCCGCCCAGGATTGGCTCCAAGATGGATCACAAAGCTCAAGACGGCCTCAAGATGCCTCTAAGACGGCCCAACATGGACCCATGACGCACCAGGATGGCCTCAAGATGGCCTAGGAATCCACTGCGACGCCCCCCATCCAAGTTGTTCTAAAGGACCTCCAGGAGGCCCCTCTTCGTTTTGAAATGCAATTTTCGCGTTCTCGCCATTTCGGGTTTTCGACAACCGAAGACGGCACCAGTTGCTCCAAGATAGCCCGAAGACGGTCCTAGACGCCACCAAGAGTGCTCCAAGACGGGCCAAGAGGGCCTCCAGTCGGCCCAAGATGCCCCCAAGACGGCTCCAAGAGGGCCTGGCCCCACCACGGCCACACAGACTTCCAAGACGGCCCTAACGCGCCGAAAGAGGGCCCAACAACGGCCAGAGGGGCCCCAAACACTGCCTCCGAAGGCTAAGAGACCTTCGAGGCCCCCAAGCGGCTCTCAGGAGCTCCAAAGAGGCCTCCTTTTCCTCCTCCTCCTCCTCCTCCTGCTCCTCCTCCCTCCCTCCCTCCCTCTCTCTCCTCCCTCCCTCCCTCCCTCCCTCCCTCTCCTCTCTCTTCCTCCCACAAATGTCCCCTACGGGTTTCCACAACGGCTGGGCGAACACGCAGTCCAAATGCTTGGATTTAGGCGTAACGATTGGCCACGTAGGCGTTTCCGAAATACAGGGGGCGGTGGTGGTTCGCCGTAGGCGTCTTCGATAACTTCGCGTATGACACTGGTTTCGCCATTCTGCGAACCCTTTGGACCATCCTGGCCATCGATGGGGGGTGACCCATGCTCAACCACGCGCCCATTCGGCGCTCTGCCCAGGATGCGCTGCTGAGGGAAGACGAAGTGAGAGCGCCCCACCGTCCTCGGCCGCGGCCGGCTTCGCCTCCGGCTTCGCCTCCGGCTTCGCCTCCGGCTTCGCCTCCGGCTTCGCCTCCGGCTTGGCTGGCTTCGTCTCGTCGGGCGCCGCCTGCGAAGCGTCTATTGAGACTGCGAGTCGGCCGACTGTGTCGATAATGCCGCCGCAGTCTGTGCTCTGACCAATGCGTGCTCTCACCCTCGCCCTCCTCAATGAGCAGTGGAGGAAAAGTGTGCTGTACGTGTACCTGGCACGGCGGTTGGCGACAACGGGCCTTGGAAGGAGGGAAGGCGGCGAGAGGAGGGAGGCCAGTGACGATGGTGGACGACAGTGGCACCAGCGCGCAAGCCCCATGCTGTGTAGGGCGCTGCTTGCTGCCGCTTGGGCCTATCTTCTGGTCTCGTGGGGTCTTTCTTCAAGCATCTTATGCGCCTTGGGGCTGTCTGAAGCGTTTCCGTTTTCTGAGATTGTCTTGGACGCCTCTTGAAGGCACCATCCATGGCAACCTCTTGGGCGCTTTCCAAAGCCGTCTCGGCACGCTGTGGGATCCGTCTCGGCGCATTCTGGGATCTGTCCTGCGCCGTCTTCAGGCCTCTCTCGAGCTGGCTTGAGCCTCCCAGGGTGCTCCCTTGAGCCGTCTTGGGGACCCTTGGGGCCCTCTGTTGCCATCGCTCGGACGTCCATTCTCCGTGCATTTTTCGATTTCGTGTGCTTATTTTTTCGCAAGATGACCAAAGATGCTTCTCGATGGCCCTCGCCGAAAACACACACACACGGGTCTGAGCGATGCCTTGCTCTTGAGCTCTCTCTAAGAGCCCCCCGAAGCCACCTTCAGCCGAAACGCCTTCGAAACAAACACAATCTATTTCTGTGCGTTGGGTCGTCTGGGGCCGCTCTTGGTATCTCTTGGAGTCTCTCCTGGCGCCTCCCGCGAGCCTCCCACGGCCTCCGGGGCCAACTACAGTGGAGGCCAGTCCACAAGAAACCTTCCACAAGATACTCAACCTCCTCCTCCTCCTCCTCCTCCTCCTCCTCCTCCTCCTCCTCCTCCTCCTCCCTGAGACACCAGGGCGGCCCTTGATTTTCGGTGTGGGAACGTCACGCCTTCCACGGCAAAACCATCGCAACCCAAGAAACCCAGGGCAACCTGAAGGCGAGCAAGGTGTTCCTTGGCATGGGCCTCCACCGTATGACGTCTTTCGGGGGCCCCGTTGCCCGTCCCGAGTCTCGTGGAGCCGCCTTGGCACTCTCTGGAGTCGCCTTGCCTCTGGCTTAGACGTGCTGGATTACCAGGAGAACAAAAAGTGACATCAACATAAAAACTCGGAGGTCCGCGCGGATTTCTCGGATCGGAGCTGCGGCCCCCCGGCGGCGCCTCCGGCGCCGCCCCTGGCGCGCTCCACGCGCCAGGGAGGGGGGTCCAGCGCGGATCCAAGAAATCCGCGCGGACCTCCGAGTTTTTATGTTTATGCCACTATTCGTTTCTCTAATTACAATACCCCTGGCTCGGAAACGGGGGCGCCGCAGCTCTTGTTCGCCTCGCGCTTTCCTGCCAGCAGCCATGCACGGGGGGCCAACGCCGATGCTCGGGACGATCCGGCCTGCGAGGCCTCCAACTCTGCCCAGTACGCCTCCACGACGGCCCAGTATGGCCTCAAGACGGCACAAAGAATCCCCCGAGAGCCCAGGAGGGCTCCAGGAGGCCTTTCAGGAGGGCCCGCAGAGGCACACAGGATTGATTTGGGCAAGCTAGAGTTTGCGTACACTTCCGCGTTCTCGCCACTTCGGGATTCCGACAGCCGAAGACGCCATCATGGACATCTCAGAGTGCCCACCAATAGGCTTCCGAGAGGGCCCTAAGACGGGATAAGAAGGACACAAGACGGTCCAAGAGCCCCCCTAAGACGACCCCGCATATCTCCAAGATGGCCCTAAAGGGCTCGACAAGGGCCCCACCACGGCCCACAGAGGCCTCCACGACGGTCTCCGAAGGTCAAGAGGCCCTCAGGGCCCCTTGAGGCCTCCAAGAGGCCCCCCAACAGGCCCCTCAGAGGCCCCAAGAGGTTCCAAATAGGCCTCTACTTCCTCCTCCTCTTCCTCCTCCTCCTTCTCCTCCCTGGCCAACTCCTCTCTCTTCCTTCCCCCAACGTTCACCATTGATTTCCACAACGGCTGGGGGAACACGGAGTCCAACAGTTTTGCCAAGCTTTGGCCCAAGTTTTGGACACATCGGCATTTCTAGAAGGGGCGGCGGTGATTCGCTGTAGGCGTCGTGAACACGGTGCAGGATTCCAAAGGAGATGCCAATAGTCAACATGACATCTTCGGAGTTCCTGGACTCCCTGAGGACCCCTGAGGAATTCCAGAATGATCCGCACGACGGTTCGGACTCCAGTGGCCAGCGGCAGGACTCCCGAGGAATGCTGCAGATTCCTTGGGCATCCCCCCCAACTCCTGAATGAGAAGCGACGGGGATCGAGATCGAGTAGCAATCCATTCTAGTCCGGTCCATGGGCGCGCCCTGTTGGGCTGGAGGGGGGAGAGAGGAATGGGGAAACAGAGCGCGCCTAGACACTGGTAAACATCATATTCCCCTCCCGCCCGAGGTCCGCCCGCCCCGCGATTCGCGGTCCGCGTTCGTGGTCACACATTGCTCCTTTTGTGGGAGTCGACCATCACGAGAGACGGGTTCATATACACAGAGCTATATGAGCGACGATTCAAAACAGTCTTACGCGAGATGACGTAGCGACCTTACGCCGTAGCTTACGCGGGCCGCCAGCGCGGGACGCCACACTGGAGACGAGGGCGCTTATGCGCGACCTTACGCGGGCAACTTACGCGCCAATGTCGGCGCAAACGACTCCATTTCTTTTTTTTTGCGTCGCTCATATTCATTTACTGTGCATGTCTATGTAGGCATGTTACAAGTGTGGGTCCTGGCGCATAACGCATCCTTTTTCACGAAGCTGCGAGGTGCCTTGGAGGCGCCCCCCTTGGCGGCTCCCGCCTGCGTGGTCCATCACGACCCTCCATGCTGAATCATATAAGTGATCGAGTACTGGGAAAGTGAAGACAAGGAGGAGGAGGAGGAGGAGGAAAACCAATGTAAATCCCAAGCTCATCAAAGATGGCGGAATGCAACCTCCCTCCACGCTCCCTCTTCATATGCCCCATACAAGGGTGCCTTTTCCACTGAGGGAAGTGCGCCGTTGGGGGACAACCGTGTGAAAATCTTGACGCGTGCCAACACATTATTTTCAGGACTTCAGCACCACGGGTCAATATGACTGCTGCGTCTTGACGATCCTGAATCGTGCCAGAACACCATTCCTGTGACGTCAACACCGCGAATCAACGTCACTGGTGCGCCCTGACATTCGTGTACCGCTCCAAAACATTTTCGGACTGTTAGCCATGAGATGCCGTGCAATTTTTGCAATGTCTGAAAACGATTCTGCGCGGCGGTAAGGCGATAACCACGTCATGGAAAAGAGCCGCCCTCAATCCGTGAAGCTCTTGCAATTTTGAAAGAAAAGACGAATGTGCGCGGCGCTAAGGCGAGAACCACATTGAAAAGAACACCCGCCCTCACTCCATGAAGCTCTTGTAACTCGCAGCCCTCTGGGCGCAGGTGGTCTAGAGAGTTTTCTTTTCCCCCCTCTCCTCTTTCGGGTAATTATTGACCTCTCCCCCCCTCCCATGGACCTGGAGGGGTGGGGTCGCGGGTCGTTCGAGAATCCAAACTGGCCCAAGATGGCTCTAGGAGGGCCTCGGGGAGCCCAAGATGACTTCCAACATGACCCACAATGGCTCAATCTGGCTCCTAAAATGCTCCAAGAGGCCCCAAAACCTCTCCAAGACGGCTCCTGGTGGCCACGGAGCCTCCCCAAGAGGCCGCCAAAAGGCAACAATCTCTCAACCACCTAGCAACAATCAGTGACTGTTGCCTTCTCGCCTTTTCGCTTCCGATGGTCTTCCGAAGCCCCCAGACAGCTCCAAGAGGGCCCTTGAAGAGAGGCCCAAGCGAGCCCCTAGTCGGCCCCGAGAGTGCGCAAGAGCGCTCCAAGAGCACCCCAAGAGGGGTCCCAAGAGGCCTCCAAAAGGCCTCCCAAAGACCCCCAAGAGGCTCCCCGATGCACTCAAGAGCGCTCCAAGAAGGACACTTCCTCTGTGTGCTGCCCACTTCCCTGATCGAGGCAACTCCTCTGGGCATAGTCTCTGGATGGACTGGAAGGTTTTTTCCCAACCATCCTGTGGTGTTGGGTCCTCGTTTTGAACAAACAGCGCCCGCGTCCTCCTTCCTTCCTTCCTTCTCCTCCTGCTGCCTCCTTTCCTCCCCCTCCTTGCCTCTGCCCTCCGCATGCCTCTCTGTCGGCACACCACTCACACGCTTCGTGGCCCCATGGGGTGCTCCAGCTACGGTCCCAGCGACGGAACTCGCATGCGGTCCCCGCGCCCATTTTGGCACACCACTCACACGTTTCGTGGCCCCATAGGGAGCTCCACCTAAGGTCCCAGTGGCGGAACTCGCATGGCGGTCCCCACACCCATTTTGGCTCACCCCTCACACGTTTCGTGGCCCCATAGGGAGCTCCACCTAAGGTCCCATTGGCGGAACTCGCATGCAGTTCTCGCACCCATTTTGGCACACCCCTTACACGTTTCGTGGCCCCATAGAGAAGTACACGGTCCCAGTGGCGGAACTCGCATGCGGTCCCCGCACCCATTTTGGCACACCCCTCACACGTTTCGTGGCCCCATTGGGAGCTCCACCTAAGGTCCCAATGGCGAATCTCGCATGCGGTCCCCGCACCCATTTCGGCACACCCCTCACACGCTTCGTGGCCCCATAAAAAGGGGGCTCCACCCAAGGTCCAAATGGCGGAACTCGCTTGCGGTCCCCGCGCCCATTTCGGCACACCCCTCACACGTTTCGTGGCCCTATACGGAGCTCCACCTAAGGTCCCCGTGGCGGAACTTGCATGGCGGTCCCCGCACCCATTTTGGCACACCCCTCACGCGTTTCGTGGCCCCATAGGGAGCTCCACCTAAGGTCCCATGGCGGCCTCGGGCCATTTTGGCACACCCATCACACGTTCCGTGGCCCCATAGGGAGCTCCACCTAAGGTCCCAGTGGCGGAACTCGCATGGCGGCCTCGGGCCATTTCGGCATACCGCTCACACGTTTCGTGGCCCCATCGGGGCGCCGTCCTCCTCGTCGTCGGCGCCCGCGAAGACGGCCGCGAACGTGTCCCTGAGCATGTCGGGCTCCGGCGGGGTTGCCGTGGCCACATAAGGAGCGTGGGCGAAGATGGTATTCACAATTGCAGTATTCACAACTGCGTATGGTTCGGTCTTTCGCCAGACTAATTTGGTACGCGCGCGCGACAACAACAATTCGAACGCCGAGCAAGCTAGGGCGGGCCGCGCAGTAGCGAGGGAAAAAACACCGAAGTTAACAGCGCCCGTCACAGAGCGGAACAGGGCACGGCGCAGCCAAAATGGCGCGGGCGGCATCACGAGCAGGCACCGAGAGCTCGTCCACGAAGGTGCCGACTAGGACGCCGGTGAAGAATGGGCGGGCGACCACACACATGGTGAAACAGCAGCACGACAGCCCCAGGACGCACCTTGCCGAGGAAGGTGCCGGGGAGCAGGCGCACAGACCCAGCAGACAACCGGCAGGCAACGCGGCGAGAGGAGAGGCATCCATGAACATGCTCGCCAGGCAAGCTTGTCGAGCTCGACGTCCTTGAAGCCCGATCGCCTTCACAGACCTGGAGAAACGAGCAGGCGCACCCGACGGAGCAGCGTGGACGAACCCCGGGCGGAACGGGCACGACGCAGCCAAAAACGGCGCGGGAGGCAGCGCAAGCCGGCACCGAGAACTCGTCCACGAAACTGCCGCATAGGAGGCCGGTTTAGGGTGAAGGGGCGACCACCCACATGATATTCAGCGGCACGGCCACCCTAGGACGTAACCTGCCGGGGGAAGTGTCCAACGCGCAATCGCACAGACCCGACAGACATGCGGCAGCCGGAGCGGCAGGAGAAGAAACGTCCGTACTCTCCAAGTAAGCTTGTCAAACTTGAAGTCTTTGAAACCAAATGGCCTCCACAGACGGGAAGGGACGAGCAGGCGTACCTGGGAGCAACGTGAAAGAACCCGAGAAACGGGCGAAATCAACGCGGAAGACGCGTCAAGCGAACGCCGAGGAGACAAACGGCCTCCAGGTCCCCAGGTGGTAGGCCACGTCGTCGGGCAGCGACGGCGCGGGGAAGAGCTGCTATGCCAGGAGGAGGCGGTAGTTGGTCGGGGCGGCAGCCCCGCGCCCTCCAGCGAGCAGGTCAGATGCCCCCCAGGCTGGGGCACGCACGGAGCTGGGGAACTGGAAGGGGTTACCTTTTTTTTTGTCGCGGGCGGACGCGGATTCGCAGTCGCCGAGCTGAGAAGTCCGCGCCACGGGCCAGTCAAATTAGCAACGCGCAAGCCTAACAGCACAGCGGCCGAGCCCGCACTCAGAAGGAATGGGGTTCTTTTTTTTTGGTTTGCGGCCCGCAAGGAGAAGTCCAGAGGGCGGTACGACCGAGGCTGGGGCACAGCGACAGATAATTGGCGCGAGAACGCGCGAAGTGCACCTGCAAACGAATTAGAAGGAGGGGCGGCCACAATTGGGCAACCATCGAGCACAGGCCAACCCGCAGGTGGGGCCAGACCGAAACCCTGCCGGAGGCACGCAGACCCAAGCAAAAACCGCTGGGCGGATGCCAGCAGGAGAGGGCGGCCACGGATGGGCAGACGGAAACGCGGCCAGACCCGCAGGTGGAGTACCGACCCGCAACGGGGGAGGAGGAGGCCGGGGGGCGCGAGCGGAGAAAAGAGCGCAACCGGGGAGGAAGCGTGGCTGACTCACTCACGTGGCACCCAGCGCGTGTACGTCACCGAGAACGCCGATCACTCACCAAACCACCGATGGGGGGGATGGGATGGGGTTACGCGAAACGTCAAGAACTTGTAAGACGCGTGTGCGCAGCGCTAAGGCGAACACCACATTTTGAAAACGGCTTGTCCCCACTCCGTGAAATTCTTGCACATGAAGAAAACGAATGTACTCGGGGGCGAGAGCCACATTTTGAAAACCACCAGTCTGTGAAACTTTTGCCAGCTTCTAAGCTTCAAAATTATACATGGTAAAGACATCTCAGGTGAAACGCTGGGCCCGCCCTTTCGACTGGCGTCGGGGTGAGACATGGAGAAGTTATTCACAAGGAAACGTAATGGAGGAGGAGGAGGAAAGGGAGGATTCCTTAATATACGGGTCGGGGGGCAATAACTATCCGTTGCGTTGCTAACGAGATCGCTCTGCTGACTCCGCCCCCGCGGATCGCTGACTCGGGTTATGCCAACCCATGCGTTCTCTTGATTGATTGTTTATGTGTGTGTTCGTTTGGTTGTTCCATCCTTGATTACGCTCTCTCTCTCTCTTTCTCTACGTCTATGTGTACACAAACGTACACATTGTTCCACACTTGTGCAGCAATCCATGCACAATTGCACGCTCAACTGTTACCCAAGACGTGCTCAACAATTGTTGAGCACTCCTTCAGAAATTCCTCAACACTGCACACACATAGGTACGACGACACAATTGTTCAGCAATCCATCGCAACTACTTCTACATCACGTGTGCACCAAATGCGGGCGAAGGCGTCTCCTGTGCCCTAGATTCCGTTCGGGCTGGCCCTCCCTCTGGCGCCTTGCCGATTCAGTCAACCGATCTCCATGCCCCGACCCTGGCAACCCACCGGAGCGGCTGCCGCCTGCAAGCCGAACCGCTTCGCCCTCGCCTCCTTCAGCTTCTTCTGTGGCGCGCGGCGGCGCCGCGCAGCAGAGCGACGATGCAAACGGGGAGGCGCGGCTTGTATTCCATGCTGTCCCTGGGAAACCGAACTTCTGACCCCTCCTGACTGGAGGAGGAGGAGGGAGGAGGAGGGAGGAGGAGGAGGAGGAGGAGGAGGAGGGAGGAGGAGGAGGAGGAGGAGGAGGAGGAGGGGAGGAGGAGGAGGAGGAGGAGGCGGGAGGAGGAGGAATGGTGTGGATGGCACTTCGCCTCCGCAAGACCGCTCTTGGCCCTGGGGGCCTCCGTCCGTCGCTCCGGCGCGCTGGGCACCTCACGAGCCCCACGCGAAGTTCTTCGGGAAGCGACAGCAGATCGGATAGGGGTCGAGAGCGGCCCTTCCAAACCCCTTTATAGCTGAGGCTCTTTCCTCTCGCGGGAACGGAGCTGTGGGCGACAAGATGTCCGAGGCCGGTGGTGCCAGTGTGACTACCTCACGATAGGAAGTGGGATATATATATATATATATATATATACATATATATATATATATATATATATATATGTATTCATATACAGATAACACAGTAAGAGAGAGAGAGAGAGAGAGAGAGACAATCAGAGAGGACAGGAGGGAGAGAGAGAGAGAGAGAGACAGACAAAGAAGGGAGACCTTGCGCGCCAGCCAACGTTGGCGTGATCTTCTCACTTGCAAGAGATGTGCTAAGCATCGCGATCGCTAAACAAAAAGTCCCTGGAAGGGGGGCCGTGCTCCGTTTTCGGGGTGGTGGGGGCGTGGCTTCGCTCGAGAGGGGGGGGGGGGCGGGGATGTGCTCCGTTTTCGGGGGGGGGGGGGGGGGAGAGCTGTGGAAGAGGATGGGGCCGCGGCCCAAGGCCAGAGAACGGGCCGAGCCCCAGTCTCGAGGGGGTCGGGGCTAGGGGGTCGGGGCTGGGACGGGTGCTGGGGCCAGCAGGGCCGGAGCTAGGGGCGGGGAGGGCCAGGGTCGGGGCCAAGGCTGGGGTGGCCGAAGCCGGGGCAGGGGCCGGAGTCGGGGGCCTCGGCCAGGGCTGGGGCCGGGGCCCAGGCTGGGGCCGGAATTCCCAAGCACAACGACGCACCAACAAGCCAACCCGTCAGGGAACTAGTCCGCCAACAAGCTCGACAGACGGTCACGAGGCAAGCATTCCATTCACCACATCATGCCTAAGGCGATTGTCAACACCCTCCTTCTTCTCCTTTTCCTCCTCCTCCTCCCTTTTCCTCCTCCTCCTCCTCCTCCTTCTCCTCCTCCTCCTCCATAATAACTCCTCCCAGTCGCGCCCCGAGGCTGGTCGAAAAGGCGGGCTGGGCGTTTCGCCTGATACTTCTTCGCCAATTCTGATCATGAAGTTTAGGAATTGGCAGCAGCTTCACAGATGGAGGGCGGCCCGCTTCCAGAATGTGACTCTCGCCTTAGCGCTGCGCACATTCGGCTTGAAATACTGTAAGAGTTTCACGGATTTATGGCGGGCCGTTTTCAAAATGTGGCTCTCGGCTTAGCACCGCGCGCACTCGTCTTAACACATTGAAGCACTTTCACGGATTGCGGGCAGCTCCTTTTCAAAATGTGGCTCTCGCCTGAGCACCCCGCACACTCGTTGTAACAAATTACATACGCGCACGGATTCGCATGGCTAGTGAACCAAAAACGGTGTGATGGAGCGATTCAGGATTGTCAAGGCGCAGCAGTTACATGGATTCGCGGTGTTGAAGTCCCAGGAACGGTGTTCTGGCACGATTCAGGATCGCCACGATGTAACAGTCAGGTTGATTCGTGGCGTTGGAATCTGGAGAAAAATGTTTTGGCATGCTTCAGGATCTTCAAACGGTGGTCCCCCAAACAGGGCATTTCCCCAACGGAGATGAATCCCTGTAGGAACCTACGAAGAGGAAGGAGGCTTTATCCCGACATCGTTGATGAGTCTTGGGTTTGCACTGGTCCTCCTCCTCCTCCTCCTGCTCCCTCTGCTCCTCCTCCTCCCCCCTCACCTTCAATCCTGCAGGCAAAATGCACAAGCTATTCGGCAGGACGGGTTCGCACGGAGCGTCCCGGAGCGTCCTTGATTGGCGGCACAGGAGCGACCCGCCAGCGCAGGTGAGCTTGGTGGGATGATGCAATTTCAATAAGATGCTGACGTACGACGTCGCGAAAGGGGACGGGAGGTGGGGGCAAAAAGGAGACAACCATGCAGATTCGTGTTTCGGAGGGGCTGTCATTTCTAAAACCGCTCATTGTTAATTCCGGGAAGAGTAAGAAACGTAAGAATTATGCGTGCTATTTCGGGTGCGCCCGCGAGAAGAATTCGAAGTGAAGAGTGTCTACCGCTTGGGCGAAAAACCTGCGCTCAGCCTCGCGTCTGCTGCCCTCTGGCGCCAGGGCCAGGCTCTGCCAGCTCAGCTGGCGCCGCTGGCAAAATGCGTGCCCGACTGCCACGGTTCAGCACGCCACTGAACTGTCCAGGGATGAAGTTGTTTTTCTGCCCGCAAATTTACAGCTGTCAAACAGTGGACACTGAGCCCAGCAGAGCACGGCGACAACGAGACCGTGGGTCTGCAGCGCTGCAACGCGGGGCGACCCGCGCGGGCAACAAAGCGCGGGGGGTTTTGCCGCACGGACGGAGGGGCACAAGGAACACGAAAATCCAAGGATGAAGTTGCAGCGCCAACGCGCAGTCATGAGGCGGGGTGGAAGGCAATCCTGACGACGGGCGTCGACGCTTCTAAGCCCGAGACCCCGCCTCCAAAGTCAATTAGTGGCCCAGCTGGCGACTACTGGCCAGAGAGGCGCCAGCGCAAAGTTGCTTGGGGAAAAGAAGAATTACGGGGGGTTTGTGGGGGCGAATGCGTCGATCGATATCCAGGCCCGTGTAGAGGAAAGGCTCGGAAGCCTGAAAGCTCTCCTGCTACGGGCGCGCCCTTTTCATGGCTTAGCACTGGACTGCAAGACCGAAGGCCGCAGCAAAAGCGCACAGTGGCGTCGTCTGGAACGCCGCGCGGTGGGCCGCTGGGCTCGTCGTATCGTCAGCCATGGTGGCGTCCGTCAGGCGGCGCTCGTCGGCCATCGCGGTGGACTCCCCCACTGCCGCTCCAGCCGCGTTGCCCGCCAAGAGGAACGTGAGGGGCGCCGAGAGCATGTTGCCAAGGGCGCCGCTGCGAGCTGCGGCGCTCGTCGTGTCGTCGCCAATGGTGGTGTCCGTCAGGCGGCGATCGTCGGCCATCGTGGCGGGCTCATCCGGCGTCGCCCCCGCCGCGCTGCCCACGTAAAGGAAGGCGACGAGAACCAGGGGCGCGGTGCCAAAGCTTCCGGTGCGAGACGCGGCGTTTGTGTGTTGTCGCCCACGGTGGTGTCCGTCAGGCGGCCCGCCTCCGCGGTCGTTGTCTGTTCATCGGCGACGCAGCCATGGCCGGCGATCAGGGGGGCGAACGCGGCGAGCACCGCGCGGCTCATCGCGGCAAGGGCGGAGCAGCACAGGCCGAGAGTGCGCAGGGACAAAACCTTGAGCCAAAAGGGCTACGGTGCAACATATAGAGTTTTTCGGGTGTCATGGCGATTGAGATCCCCTGCGCTCGTCGTTGAGGAGTAAGAGAGGCTGTGGTAGCAATCCTCATTTTTCTTGCCTGTTTGAGACTCGAATGCCCGTGCTTGATAACTTTTGCGCCAACGAGGCTGCAGAAAGGTAGGGCAAGGGTGGCGCCTCAGGCTCGGGTTGCACCCGCTCTCTCCGCGGCTTCCCCCCGCGCGCCCTCGAGGTCGCCAGGTCCGCTCTGGGCCCGGACCCCGGAGGGAAACGCTATCAAAATAGCTTCTAAAATGGAGCGGGGGGGGGGGGGGTAGCTGGGCCACTGGGGCCCTTCCCCCCTCAGAAATTCATTTCCTATGCTCTACTACGCAGGCAGGTGACCTTCTCACTCGCTCCTTTCTCACCCGCCCGGGCTCAAGCCTCTGTCGCCCCGCGACCGTGCCAAGCCAGCCATCTCCGATAATTTGTCGAGCTTCTCCCAGGTCATCGGCTTGGTCATCGTGTTGTTCGGGTTTTCGTGAGTGCGCACTTTGCCGAAACTCAATCGTCCTTGTTCTCGCCGCTGCTGCAGCGCCAGGAAGCGCATCTCCACGTGCTTCATCTTTCCTGGCCCGCGCTTCTTCGCGATGTGTAGTGCGCTGCTGCTGTCGCTCATCGCGATCGGTATCGTCTTCTCTTTCCACTCCTCGAGTAGCGATGCCAGTCCGAGAGCCTCCGCTGCTCTCGATCCCAGCGCGTGTAGCTCGCTCTCCACCGAACTCAATGCCAAGCAGCCCTGGCGTCTCGACCGCGACAGGACGGTGCGTCCGTGGTACTTCAGGATGCCGCCACTCGTCGAGATCCTGTCCGTCTCGTCGTCAGCCCAGTCTGCGTCCACCCAGCACTCTACTGCAATATCATCTTTGTTCGGAATCAACTGCATCTTCTAGTCTCGCGTGCCTACAAGGTACCGAGCCATCGTCTTCAGTCTCCTCAAGTCCTTCTCCGTTGGTCCTGACATGCCCCTGCTTAGTACTCGAACTCCATGTTGAATGTCAGGGCGGTGGCTCGCCAACTGTAGTAGCTTCCCCACGCAAGTCCTGTAGCGACTGTGGCCCAGCGTGTCTAGCTTCACCTCGTCGCTCTTCACGTGTATCTCGTTCTTGGTCTCGGGCAGTGCTGATGGCTTCGCCGTCTCCAGGCCCAGCTCCTTCAGGATGTCGTCGATCAAGCTCGTCTTGCCGCTGATCGTGTAGCCGCCCTCGGCCGTCTCCACCTGCATGCTCAAGAACGTCGCCTGGTCGCCGTCTTTGGTGGGCTTTACTGCGTCCGATAACTTCCGTCTCTCTCCCATCGCCTCTAGCAACTTGTCGACTTCGTCGCTTGGTCCAGTGATTAGCAAGTCGTCGGCGTGCCTCCCTGCCCTCATCCTGTTGCTCAGCTTCATGAAGACACGCCCGTCGTAGTGGTCCCTGACCATCACAAGCTCCTCCATGGTGTTCGCACTGTGGTCCCCCCAAGCCTTCGGTGCTCCTTTGAGTCCTGGAAATGCGCGCAGCGCCTCCCGAACGTGTCCCGCAGGTACTTCTGCTTCTGGTGGTGGCTCCATCAAGATACGATCCTCGGTGAGCGGTGCCTGGTAGAAAGCTCCACTGCAGGTCGCCAAACGCCACCGCGTTGGCCAATATCGCCTTCAAGTGCGGAAGTGACGGGGTCGTGGCCACGATATTCTCGTGCCCGTGCACCTGCTGCTCGAAGCCCCTCGTGGTCCACCGGCTCTTCTTGCTGCCATCCGCCTGGGAGGTGTCGACCCACTTCCCCGTCGGGACCTTGGACGCCGTGTCCTGGATCGGGATCACCATTGCGGTCTTCTTGCCGTCTCCTGCGATCTTCTCCAAGTGTTCCTTCCTTGCCTTCGTGAAGTCGCCCTCCAGTGCGTGCGTCTCATCGTCTTCTACCTGTGGCTCCTCGCACAATTCCCTGGCCGCACTGATCATCTGGATGGTCGTGGCCCTGGACTTCTTGCCTTCGCTTCCTTCTCCGCCATCGCGTTCTCGCTTGGGACTCTACCAGCGGAATACCCACTGGCTGCGATGGCCCCGCCCTCGGTGTTGACGGTCCTGCAGCCTCGTCCCTGGGCCTCTTCGCCTCCAATCGCTCCTTGTCCATGTCCGCGTCGTCGTGCGGTGCTGCCGCCGCTGCTGCTTCTGCTGGCGGTGGTGGTGCTGGTTGCGGTCCTTCTCCTGCTGTTGCTGCTCCTGCTGCGGCTGCGGCTGCCGCGTTCAGGTCCAAATGCTTTGGTGACGGCCCAAGTAGAATCGGTTCCTGTAGTGACCTCTGCGTTGGTGGTTCCCCCCTCGTGGTTGGTGTCGGTTCCCAGGGTGTCCACCTCATCTTGTCGAACAGCTCCTTGTCCCAGCACCGGCTCTCCACCTTCTTCTTTGCAGCCCTGGACCTGCGCGCTCCCGTTGGTGTTCCGATCAGGTGCTCGTCCGTCTTCGCGTCGCGTCTTAGCCATATGCCCTCCAGCCACGACAACTCCAGCTTGTTGACCTGGGCCCCTGGCCTCCTGCAAATCACTGCCTCGCCGACTGCGGCGATGGGTTTCTGGTACTTGGGCATCTGGGTCTTCCCGTAGGGTGTGAGGTTGGTGTCCCCCCCTGACCATGTATCTGTTGTAGAGCCACGCTGCGTGCCTCGGCGACCACGAGAGGAACGGGGAGTCGGGCTTGGGGTCGTGGTTCAGCTTCTTGTTGACCTGTAGCACCAACGTCCTCACTTGCTTCCTCACCGTCTGGATGGCTCTCTCGGCCCTGCCGTTCGCCTGGCTGTTGTACCTCTCCGACTACCTCACGAGGATCGTTTCAGAGATGCCGTCTTTGATCGCCCTGGCTCTGGCTGCCATGATGAATGAGAACTCGGCTGCTCCTCCTGCTTGTAGTTCCACTCGTGAGCGTCCCAGTTCGGCTAGCCACGAAGCCGCCGAAAGCACTGTGTAGACGTCGTCTCGACCTTCTGGATGATGGCCGTGATCCAGATGCTCCCTGTCGAAACGTCGCTGCCCTCTACGAACTCGAAGTTGACGGGGTCCCCCTCGATGCCCGCCTGGCCGTAGTCGGAGCTCAGCAGTGGGATCAGCTCGTCGCGTCTGTCCTTCTTCTTGTGGGCTATGTCGTTGGCCTTTGCCCGAATGCAGATCTCACGCCAAGGTTCAGCTGGGTAGTGCGTCAGCTCGTGCCTCTTGATCTCGTCCGCACTTGGCTCTCGAAATCCAGGTAGTCCACTGGCTGTCGTCTCGGGTTCCACCGTCTCGTGATCGCCGGGAACTGCCGCTGGTCCCTCTGCGGGTGTATCCGCTAGTGCATCTGTAGCTCCTCGAGCTACGACCTGTGGTTGCTGCCGCTCTCCTGGCGGTAGCACTCGTGGTCCTCCTGCCAATGCTCGCTGGACTGCTTCTCCGTCTTCGCCCTCTTCACACCAAGGGCACGGCTGGAACGGGGGGGCACGGTCGGTCGGTGGCAGGCGGGAGGGCCACGGGGTGGAAGGGGCGGGACAGGGGGGTGGCAGGGAGGAGAGGGGGGCACGGTCGGTCGGCGGGGGCCACGGGGCGGGGAAGGGGGAGGCACGGTCGGTCGGTCGGTCGGCCGGAATAAGCAGGCGAGGGCCACGGGGCGGAGGGGAGGGGCACGGTCGGTCGGTCGCGTCGGAATAAACAGGCGGGGGCCATGGGGCGGACGGGCGGGCACGGTCGGTCGGTCGGAATAAGCAGACGGGGGCCACGGGGCGAAAGGGCGCGGGGACGGGGGCCACGGGGCGGAGGGGGGGGGCACAGTCGGTCGGTCGGAATAAGCAGGCGGGGGCACGGGGCGGAGGGGGGGGGGGGCACGGTCGGCCGGTCGGCTGGAATAAGCAGACGGGGGCCACGGGGCGGAGGGGCGCGGGGGAGAGCAAGGGGACGGGAGGGCACGGTCGGGCAGGGGGGGGGCACGGTCGGTCGGTCGGTCGGTCGGAATAAACAGACGGGGGCCACGGGGCGGAGGAGGCACGCACACACGCACACACGCACACACACACACACACGCACGCACGCACACCACACACACACACAACGCACACACACACACACGCACACAAGCACACACGCACACACGCACACACCACACACACGCACATACGCACACACACACACACACGCACGCACACACGCACACGCACGCACGCACGCACGCACACACGCACACGTGCACATACACTCACGCGCACACGCCACACACATATGCACACACAACACACAAACACACGCACGCATGCACCCGCACGCACGCACACACAGAGACACACACACACACACACACCACACACACCACACACACCACACACACCACACACCACACACACACACACGCACACACACACTCACACACACACACACACGCACACACACACATACACACACTGTTTGTCAATGGCACGTTGGAACGTCATCCGCGCGGTGCAGAACACCCTGTGGAAACAGTGGAGGCTAGTTCGCAAGACAACTTCCACAAGAAACCCAACTCTGAGAAGACCCCAGGACGTCCACTGATTTTTGGTGTGGGAGCGCCACGCTTTCCAAAGCAAAACCATCGAGACCCAAGAAACTCAGGGCACCCTGGTGGAAAGCAGGGTGTTTCTTGGCATGTGTTTCCACTGTATTCTGTGAATGAAGACAAGCATGCTGTTGCGATCCCGTAGCCCGAAGACATCAGCGGGTCTGCGCCGGCATCGACGTCCAGAGGCAACACCGAAACGACTCAGCACTGTGCCGACTGGCGCGGTGGTTGGGGAAATGGAGGCTTTGGGAAAAAGTGGGCGTGCTGCGTGCGGCAACATCACCTCCCGTGGGCACTGCAAGCACACGCTCACACCCAAGCGCGCTGTGCAAACAATAACGTGCGCGTTAACTTGTGGCTGATCAGTCGCGTTCGCGGCGTATACACAGCTCCGCACGCGCACGCTTCACGAGTGCGAGTCCTGTGCCAACCGGACCCGCTCCCCATTCACAACCCTCCGTTTCACCAAAACGACTACGGCCAAGCTTGCTTCCCCACAGCAGTCCTCCGCCTCGGAATCAACCTGCAGAGGGCGCCGCTCTCGACTATTGATGATGAGAAACCGAAGGGACGCAGACAATAAGACGACAGAGGTGAATCATATCGTGCAGCGTGCACGAGACATTTCCCACACAACAACTTTCAGATACATCAAACCTCGTAATACCAGCTAACAGCGATCATACATACATGCATACAGGTAAATAAATTGAAGCAGTGCGGCGCGCAAGTGAGCATGCAGATGAACGCTTCACTGCGTAGAAGCTCGAGAAGCGAAACAGCGGGACATACGGAGTAAGGTCCGCGAGGCTGCAAGGTAGCGTGTAAGCTCAGCGCTGGAACCAAGTGCCCCGTCAGTGTCTGCGCCGAGACCGAAGCACTCGCGACACATGACTGCAAACGTGCACCCCCAACATGGTTCCCACCCGTCCTGTGGTGTTGGGTCCTCGTTTGGAAAAAAAAAAAAGACAACGCCCCGCTTCTCCTCCTCGCTCTTCTCCTTCCTCCGCAGCCGTCCGCGTGTCCATTTTGGCACACCCTCACACGTGTAGTGACCTCATAGGGAACCCCATTTATGGCCACAGGGTGCGTGTGTGTGTGTGTGCGCGCGTGTGTGTTTGCGAGTGTGCGTGTGTAAGGGTGCGAGGTGGCGTGAGTTTTTTCCCCTTCATCGTAATCGTGATCCTCCTCCTCCTCCTCCTCCTCCTCCTCCTCCTCCTCCTCCTCCTCTCCTCATCACCCCACTTCTCGTCATACTCACCATCATCGGCATCACCAACATCATCCTGGCACGCCGCATATCATCAACATCATCCTCCAATTCCTCCTCGTCCTCCGAGAAGAAGCCCCGACATCTAAATATATTAAAAAGCCGCGCAGCCGACAATACACCAACACAATTTTCGGGTCCATAAGCCTTGTGAGGGTACCCAAACACCAGTAACACACATCCTGGCGACGGACCCACCCATATGCAATTGTCAGTGCCGCGTTGTGGGCACCGCTGTCCGTGGAACCCACTACGTGGCCACGAAACGTGTGGGGGGTGTGCTGAAATGGGCGGGGAACCGCATGTGGACTGCGCCACTGGGGCCTTCGGTGGAGCCCCCTATGGGGCCACCAAACGCGCCGCCATTGGCGGGGAACCGCATGTGGACCCTGCCATTGGGGCTTTCAATGGGACTCGCTGTGGGGCCACAAAACGTGTGATTGGTGTGCCCGACTGGGCGGGGAACCGCGTGTGGACCTTGCCACTGTCGCCCTGGGTGGGGATCCCTGTGGGACCGTGAATCGTGTGAAAAGTGTGCGCAAATTGGCGGGGAACCGCATGTGGACTCTGCCGTTGGGCTTTCGGCTGAGCCCCCTATGGGGCTACGAATCGTGAGGGGTGTGTTTAAATTGGCGAGGAACCGCATGTGGACCCTGCTGTTGGGGCTTTCGGTTGACCTCCCGATGGGACCACGAAACGTGTGAGGGGTGTGCCGGAATGGGCGGGGAACCGCATGCTAACTTTGCCACCAAGGCCTTCGGTGAAGCTCTCTTTGGGACCACGAAACGTGCGAGGGGCGCGCCGAAATGGGTGAAGAACTACACTCGAACATTGCCGCTGGGGCCTTAGGTGGAGCCCCTATGTGGGGCAACGAAACGTGAGGGGTGCGCAGAAATGGGCGGGACACGCATGTTGACTGTGCCACTGTGGCCTTCCGTGGAGTTCCCTATGGGGCCTCCGACGGAACGTGTGAGGTGTGTGCCGACATGGGCGGGGAACCGCATGCGAACTTTGCCACTGGGGCCACGAAACGTGTGAGGGGTGTACCGAAGAGGGCGGGGAATCGCATGTGGACTGCGCCACTGGGGCCGTCGGTGGAGCTCCCTATGGGGTCACGAAACTCGAGCGCGCGCGTGCGTGCGCGCGTGTGCGCGCGCGCGCGCGCGTGTGTGTGTGTGTGTGTGTGTGTGTGTGTGTGTGTGTGCGTGTGAGTGTGTGTGTGTATGTGTGTGTGTGTGCGTGTGTGTTTATATGTATGTGTGTGTGTGTGTTGTTCTCCAATGGGTGGGGAACTGCACGCGAACCCTGCCCCTGGGGCCTTCCGTGAGGCTCCCTGGATGACCACGAAACGTGCGAGGGGTGTGCCCATATTGGCGGGGAGACGCATGCGGACTTTGCCACTGCGGCCTTCGGTTGAGCTCGCCATGGAGCCACGACGCGTGTGATGGGGTGTTCCGAAATGAGCGGGGACACGCATGTGGTTTTTGCCACTGGGGCCGTCGGAAGCGCTTCCTTTGAGGCCGCGCAGCGTGTGAGGGGTGTGCCCGACTGGGCGGGGAAACGCATGTGGACTTTGCCACTGGGGTCTTCGGTGGAGCTCTCTATGTGGCCACGAAACGTGTGAGGGGTGTGCTGATATGGGCGGGGGCACGCGTCGGGACTTTGTCACTGTGGCCGTCGGTTGAGCTCCCAATGGGGCCAGGGAAGCGTGTGAGGGATGTGCGGCAATGGGCGGGGAAACGCATGTGTACTTTACAAGTGGGGCCTTCGGTGGAGCTCCCCATGGGGCCACGAAGCGTGTGAGGGGTGTCTTGGACTGGTTGACGCGCGGAGGGCAGATGCAAGGATGGGAGGAAGGAAGAGAAGAATAAATGCGGGGACTGTCTGTTCAAAAAGAAGACCCAACACCATCGGATAGTTGGGAACATAGCATCTGGGCGGAAAGCACAACCATATGAAATTGCGAATGCCGCGTAGTGGGCACCGCTTTTGGTAGAACGCAATTGGGCAACATGACAGATGTGCCTAACTGGGCGAGGAACCGCGTGTGGACTGTGATACTGGGGCCTTCGGTGGAATTCTCGATGGGGCCACGAAACATGTGAGGGGTGCGCCCACATGGGCGGAGGACCGCACGTGTACCCTGCCACTGGGACCTACGAAACGTGTGAGAGATGTGCACAAATGGGGAGGGAACCGCATGGGGATCCTGCCACTGGGAACTTCGGTGCAGCTCCCTATGGGGCCACGAAGCGTGTGAGCGTTGTGCTGACATGGATGGGGAACCGCATGTGAACCCTGCCATTGGGTCCTTCGGTGGAGCTCCCTATGGGGCCACGAAGCTTGTGAAGAGCTTGCCGAAATGAGCGGGGAACTGCATGTGGACTGTGCAACTGGGGCCTTCGGTGGAGTTCCCCCTGGGGCCACGAAGCGTGTGAGGGGCCTCCATTGAGATCCACTCGACGATTTTAGACTTTCTGGAAACCCACTGAACTGCATTGGACTCCATTGGGCTCCGTTGGACTCCACTGGGACCCATTGGGCTCCATAGGGCTCCCTCGTGTTTCAGTGGGCCCCATTGGACTCCAAATGACTTGAATGTTCACCCTGTCAGAACAAAGTACGAATACGAATGGATTTAAGAATCCATCCGGATACGCATTGGAATCCATCCGAACACCGATCGAAATCGACTGCAATACCCATAGGAACCCATGGGAATATGAAGGGGGCCGTTGGGATACCAACTGGACTCCGCTGCACTGCACAGAAGCGTGCAAAGCGGGGGAGGGTGCCTGGATCTACTCTCTTCAGCACGGTACAGGGCAGTTCTTAATACATAGGATTACAAAAACATATGATTTTCATACGTGACTAATGCATGAACGAATTTATGCATGAACGCATCGTTGTTTTTATGCAAAATCCCTGCATTTTTAATACATGGTCCGCACGCGGAGCATGTATAACAAACGGCACTGTACTCGAGAACTCATGCAGGAACCCCTTTTTCTTTGGATGATGGCACAGCACCCTGATGCATGCCCAGAATCGGGCGCACGAGCCACAGAGCACAATCCATAGGATACCAAGGCAACCACGAGCACTCGTAACACGAGGAGGAGGAGGAGGAGGAGGAGGAGGAGGAGGAGGAGGAGGAGGGCGCACTGGCCGTCGCCGAAGCTCCGTGCTGCTTGTGGCGTGCGGGTGCTCCTCGCGCAGTTGTGCTCTGATGGGGGTCCAGCGCATGCAGAACGAGCTGCCCGACGCCAGCGATAGGGCACCAAGGCGACGCATGATGCTCAGCATAATGTGGTTGTGGGCTCTCATTCTGGCCGCAGCGGAAACCGACGCTAGAGAGTCTCCCAGGACGGGCAACCTCCTATTGTGGTTCCGAGACGCCCTCGAAGCATGGCGAACGCGGTAAAGAACGGCTTGGGCCTCAAGAGCAGGCATCCCTTCGAGACGATCCCACTTGTAACGAGCAGTCACATGACAACGATGTCACCTGATATATTTCTTCGACGCCTTGGCGAAAGCAATCGGGTCCCGCTTGACTGGCGGGCCGACGGGCTGGCTGTCGTTGGGCAGGCTGCCCGGCACAAAATCGGCGACGCCTAGCCCGAGGCCGCTGGCTGCGGCCCCCTCGGCGGCACATTCAGCGGCGAGAGCTCGGTGTCGTGGAGGCAAGCGCTCCGCCCTACCATAGCGCCACCGCTCACTATGACGACCGACCTCCCGAAGCGCAGCCACTTCCCAATCGGCTTCGCAAGCGCCCAACCCCCGTGGGGAGTCGTCCGCGCAACCAACGGAAAAGGGGGCCACTGGGCACGGATATCACGCCACAGTAGAGGGGCAACACCGTCCCAAGCCATGGGCTCCTGCCTGACCTGAGTCCAGAGCGGCACCTCGCGGTGGTAGCAGTGCTGGACAAAGCGAAGACTGGACACCAAGATGCCGAAGCACTCGCGGCGCGCCAGCATCACGAATATGATATGGCCCAGCGCCCGCTCCAGATCACGACCACTGGCGCGACCGCGCCGCAGCAGCGCCCGAACGGCCAGCCGTGCGCGCCACAGCCGGGGGGCCGAGGCTGACAGGCGGCCTGCTGAGGAAATGGACCATCCCAGCACAGAGTACTCGCCCTCGTTGTCGCCGAGGTGCTCCTCGCGCGTCACGACGAGACCCCGCCACTTCAGCTCCGCCATCACGCGAACGACGGCATCGCGAACGGCGACAGCATCGTATCCGATGCTCGCGAAGTTGTCGACGTACTCGAGGTGGCAAGCGGGCCCCGTCGGCGGTGCAGGTCGCCCGTCGCGAAAACACGTGTCACCCTGGCAACCAGCGGCCTCTGCTGCGCGCTCCATCGCGGACTGGCGCCGCCGCGTGGCCCATGGCCAGCTTATTGGCGCCGCCCCCAGGCGAGGTCAAAGCCTGGTGGAGGCCTCGAGGCCGGCGGCGCCCCGGCAAGCGATGCCGAAGTCGCCGGCTCGAACGGGCCTGAAAGTGAAGTGCGAGCGCAGCTGCTCGGGCAGCTCCAGGTGGTAGAAGGCATCCTTCAAGTCGGCGCCATCGACGGTGGGCACCGTATCATCATCAGTCATCTCGAGCGTGCCGAACGCATCGCCCGTGGCCAGGCGCGCTCCCAGCGGCTCGGTGAAAACCTCATTCGACCGACGGCAATCGGCCGCCACGCGGAAGGCCCACCATTCTTCTTGACGAAAAAGATCTCGGCCTTCACGCCGTCTGCCACATGGAAATCGACGAGATGCCGCTCGTGCAAAAGCTTGGCAAGACTGGGCCAGCGCTGCTGATCTCGCTGGAGAGGATCGGAATTTGGCACGGGCATCGAACTGTGCTGCAAGCGGGCGGCGGCCTCGCTCGGATCGAGCGCGCTCTGCCGAACGAGCTGTTCGACCTCGGCTTGCCCGCCCCCCCCCCGCACTTCCGCCGGCGGCGCAGGCGCCGAGCTGGCGTCGGGCAAGGAGAGGAGCGCGGGGTCGTGGCTCCCGAGGGGCGACTGCTCGACGGTGTAGGCGCCCCTGGCCACGCGAAGCTGCGCGAGCGCTTCTGCGGGAGAAAAGGGGCGAGGGCGGAGCGCCAAGATGCCGCGCGGACTCGTTGATGTGGGCGGAGCACTGGCACTGAACAAGCGAAGGGCCCGCGTGGCGTGCAGAACGGTCACGGCCGCGCGTGAGGAGCGGGTCGTGAAGCCAATTTAGGGCGTCCACGCAGTGGAAGACGTCGTTGCAGACGCCCAGCCTTCGGCCGACCCTCTTCCTCGCGCCCCCGGCGAGCGCGCGGGGGCAGCTGGGTCCAGTGGCTCCTTGGTGGAGGGGCAGGGCAGAGGGGGGGTGCCCCGGGGCCGACGCCGACCAACGTCGTGGACATCTCGAGTGTGGTCAGGCTCAGAGTGATCGCCCTGATGGAGGGGCAGCGCGCTCGCGCTGGCGCCCCTCCGATGCCCGCGCGGCCGCGCAGATCACCCATTCTTGCCCCTGGATTCTCGTCCCGCTCCTCGCGGGCCGGGCGCAGACTCTCGCGTGACTTCGCCTCCTTCTCCACGTCGCCCCGCGCGTGCTCGATCAGCTCAGGCGAGGCCATCGCTGGCGAAGTAGATCGGAGACGCCCGACAAGGCGGCCTGCTCCTCCAGACACACCTTGCCCCCGACGCCTTTGCTCTCAGCGTCTTTCGCCTTGCCCCAGTGCGCGAATTCGATGGTCCGGGGCCGCTTGAACTTCATCTCCATACTGATCAAGCTCGTGCCGCCCAGGAGGTCCTGGCAGGTCGCCGCCTTGATCTGCTGGCGCAGCTGGCAGTGCTCCTGGGCGCCCCAGTATGCGGCGCCCAGCTTGCAGATCCGGCGGATGTGCTCGTGGTGACCCTTCATGGCGAGGCCCTCGTGCTGAAGATAGCTCGCGCGCCATCCAGCGGTCCTGGGCCCGGGCAGCGTCCAGAAAGATCCGAAGTCCTCCTGGCGAGTCATCTCAATCATCTAATGCCGCGGCGCGTCCCTGCGGCCCTGAGCGCCGCGCGAGGACCCTCGCGTCGGCGTCAACCGCCTTCCGCGAGAAGTTCTCCAGGGCTGCAGGCGGCACCCATCCGACGAAGAGTCCCTGGCCGTCTGGCAGCGCGTGGATGTCCCGACGGCGGTGGCCACGTGTCCTGGCACCCCGTCGCCGATGCGATAGCCGCCCTCGCAGGCCGCGCCCAGCAGGAGCAGCCCCGCGCAACGAGCCCAAGGCGGGGCCCGCCGGCGCTATCGGCACTGCGGCAGCCCACCCGCCCGGCGTGACGAGCGGCTGCAGGTTCGCGACACTCGCCCATGGCCACCTGATCCGCCTCCGCCGTGAACTGGCCGAGCTTCGCATCAGTCGGCTCGGCCCAGAACCGATGCACCTGATTGGGCGCGATCCCTGGCGGCGGCGGATCGAAAACCCCGAACCGCGCCGCCTGCACATCAGCATTGCTGGTGAAAACGATGATGTACAAGTCACGGTCCGCCGTGTAGATCACGTGATCAGCTTCCGACAACGCCACCCGCCCCAGACCCAAGTGCTGGTGCCAGACCACCTCGCCGACGTAGAAGACGTACGCCCATCGTGTCGTCGCGGGCGCCACCATCGTCCAGGCCCTCGAAAACGCGGCTGCGAGGCCGCGCGTCACGCCCAAGCACTGCGCAGCAGCGCCCGAAGCAGGCCGCCGCGGTGACGAACCCGAAGACGCCGCCGATGACGCCCGTGACCAGCGCGCGGATGTCCACCGCGGCGTCACCGAGCGCACTGCCCGCGGCCGCCGCTGCCGCCGCCTCCTGCGCGGGCGAGCCCGTCAAAGGCTCAGGCGCCGCACACGGGGCGCACGCCGGGCAGGCGGGCGCTGGGCAAGGGGCAGCCGCGGGGCAGCTGACGGCAGGCGCCTCCGCGCACGGCGGGATCGCTGGGCACTGCTCCGAGCATGCGGGGCACGCCGCGGGCGTGACGCACGCCAGGGAGCAGGTGGGGCAAGGAGGACACGATGGCACCTGCGGGTACCTTGTCAGGTAGGAAACCACTCCCTTGAGAGCGTGATCGATGGGCCTCTCCCACATAAGTCAAGACTTGAGCGACACAAAACGGCGGCGGCCCCAACGAGCGCAACGGAAACACGTGAAATCACACAAATTCCTTAGGTCTTCGAAGGATTTTGGCGTTTGCTTCTCTTCGGCCTTCCGGCGGCCCAAGAAGAGGCCCCCAAGACGGTCCCAAAAGGGCCCCAAGACGGTCCAAGATACCTCCAAGACGGCCCCAAAATGGCATCCAAAACGGCCCTGGAGCACCCCAAGATAGCCCCAAGTCGGCCCAGAGAGGCCCCCAAGACGGCTTCCGACACGG